CTGTTTGAAAGTGGGACTATGAAAGAATAACAAACTGCTTGCAAATATCTTAAAAATTAAATGTTTCAAAAGCACTAAATATATCAATTACATCAAAACTAGTTATGTGATGCTCATACGAAGAAACCCTAAGGTATATACAAGGTTCAAAGTGAAGACGACGACGACGGGGAAAGTGAACTGTGATCTGTTCGTGGTGGGGTACAGAGAGGTGGCAGTTCACTTCTCAGAAAATAAAAACACCTTGATGTAGCAGGAATCTTAAAAGTTCTTATTAATAAAATCAAACCTGAGGCCAGGTATTGGGGTGAACACTAGAAGATCAGAGAGAAAGAACAGGCCACAGCCACCTCACCTCGCCAGTTCCTCAGCTGATCCTGTTTCCTCAGACTGGAAGCCTCTGAGTCCTCATCCAAAATGAATCTCAGCTGAACTGCTGCTAGAAGCCTGAAAGCTTAACCAGCCAAAAGCTTAACCAGGCCAAATGCTTAACCAGCCAAATGCTGCTAGTCCCTGGTCCTCACGCCTTATACATCTTTCTGCCTTCTACCATCACTCCCTGGGATTAAAGGCATGAGTCACCATGCTTGGCTGTATCCTTGAACAGATGGATTTCTGCCTCTGGAATGCTAGGATTAAAGGCGTGTGCTACCACTGCCTATCCTCTATGTTTAATATTGTGGCTGTTCTGTCTCTGACCCCAGATAAGTTTATTAGGGTGCACAATATTTTGGGGAACACAATACCACCTCACCTTGATATGCAATCTAAGGTTTCTCCTGATCTTTTACCATTCTCAGCTCATCCTGTGTTTTATTTTTCATTTTGCTTTACTGTTCTAGGGGAGAAAGCCTGAAAGTAGGGAGAGATGATAGGAATAAACTAACTAACAGAAGAAAAAGAAACTATCGTTCATTTTGCTCTCCTTACATTGAACCCGAAGGGCATCATCATGAAATGCTAATGACACCACAACTAAATTCCTGATGTAACAATCTAATCTAATGTAAGTGACCAGGAAACTATCGATAAATTATATCTGCAAGCTGAATCCTTCAGAAACCCTTGACTGTAATACAGCTTCAGCAGTGAAATACAGAGACATGAACCTTGGTCCCAGGGTGTAACAGTAAGTTGTTCAACAGCTTTCTAGTCAAAGAAGTGAGGTCACCTAAAGAACTTTAAACCTAAGTGCTCACTAAACAGACAACGCCAAGGTTTTCATGCTGCACTACACAGCACAAGGAGATAACTATGTAGTCTGCTGAAAACCAAGAGTTTAAAGATACAACTTCAGGACCAGGAGAAGGCTCACTGGGTAAAGGCACTTGCTTGCCCCAAATGTCACAACCAGAATTTGATCCCCAGGAGCCATATGTTGGGACACCCAACTCTTTCAAATTGTCCTCTAACTTACATACCCACACCCACACGCATACAAAATAAATAAAATGGAAAAATATTAAATAAAAGATACAATTTTACAACAGTTTCTTGAGAAAAATAGAATAAGAAACTAATTTAGCTGTGTGAACACCAAAAACTCCTGTAAAACAGTCGTTATTCCAAGATCCCAGTGGCAAATGTGAAGGACTCTGAATTGGACCATTTCAACTATATGACCTCCCTATACCCCTAACAATGCGCGCGCGCGCGCGCGCGCGCGCGCGCACACACACACACACACACACACACACACACACACACACAATCATTTTGACTGATTCTTGGCAAGTGCTCCCAGAACCAGATTATAAAACATTAAGCTGGGACAATCCTATGTTCCCCCTCATGCACATTATTCTAAAAAATTCCTCTTTAGTTCTCTGCAATCAAACTCTTTCCAAAAATAAGTAAATAAATAAATAACAGAAAACACCTGGATGCTAGGATATGTAATATACACGCTCAGCAGATTTTCACCCCAAAACGTGGCCTCACTCTTCTGGAGGCAAATGATCTTCATAACCCCCTCTTCTGCAGTTACCACTTTCCTTAAACCGCAGGCCTTCCTGACTTGCAGCAGGGCCAGGCCAGATTACGGTTATGTGGTAGATCTGTCAGGCAAGTTTTGACAGAGCCTCAAAATAGACCCTGGACACCATCCAGGGAAAGTGCCACTCAGGAGTTCCAGCTTCACCACACTTGAGCCTCTCGGTAGTTATTTCTCTCTGGTCTCTCATTTCAAAAGGACAAAGGCTCCTGGACCTCACCCTGGGCATGAGTCACCTACAGAACTCCAGATTTAAAGCTTGAAACTCCCTTAGTCTGAGCACCAACTCTGCAGAATAAAGTCTAAATCTATACCTACTTCCTGCTCTGACAAAGGAATCCACCAACAGTGCTCTGGATTGCAAAGGAATTTCTAGCTCTCGGGATCCATCATGTATTCTACTTTAAACAGACAAACTAGGATGTGGAAGATGAAGAAATGGTGGGTCATTTCTTTCTCCTATGACTAATATCAGTTAACTTTAGCAGAGCAAAAACATAAACTATATAAAAGTTGTTTTTTATTTTTTGTTGTTTTCTGTATGTAGCCCTAGCAGGCCTAGACCTGGCTATATAGACTTCACAGAGATCTGCCTCTGCCTCCCAAGTGCTGGGATTAAAGGTGTGTACCACCACACCCAGCTATATAAAAGTTTTTAATTAACAGAAAACATAAACTCTGAAACAAGCCTATAAGGTACAGCCATTTTACCAAATATAAGTGGTTTGTGTTTGTCAGCACCAGACTTCAACTATGGTATTTTGACATTTACCAGTTCAAATTAATCATATTCCAAATTATCTTAAGTTGACTTATAAAACACATTTGCAATTTTATTTGAGACAAGGTCTTATTACATGCTGCATAGACCATGGTAGTCTCAAACTCTCAATCACCTGGCTTAGCCTCCCAAATGCTAACAACAGATGCATGATATGAACCCAGTTCACAATAAAGTAATTTTTAATTCTTCCTCCTCTTGTGGCTGAGAAAACATTAGCTTCTATTATAAAATAAAGTTTAGTATAAAATGAATTTCTCATGTTCACAACCTGAGTATCAACCTCACAGTCATATATTCAAAACTACATTCCAGATATATTTATAAACTGCCAAATACTTGTTTAAAAGTTTTTCTTACAGCACTGTTTATAGAAGAACAAAAATGATCTAATGTTTACTAATAGGGAATTAGTAAACCTATAGAAAATTAATAAATCCAGTCTTTTTACAGTAAAATGAGATTGGAGTAGGTGCTTATACAGAAAAAATATCTCAGATACAATACAGGTAAACGACACTTGTAAACACATGCAACTGTGTATGTACCTGAGAATTTAGAGGAGGAAACAAACAAAAAGCCCATTAACCATGGTAGCTTGGACAGGAGATAGGTGTATGGGAAGTCAAAAGTTTGTGACAGATTCTTTTACATGTTTTATCAATCTTTGAAAGGTCTACAGATGTCACTGAGCCCACACCACCAGCATTTCTTTCTCTGTATGTCACTGTCCCCCTTTCCACCGTCTCTGTTTTTACCTATTTCTTTCCCTACCCCTAGACTAAAACAAGAGCACATGCAGGTTGCAAGTCTCAGTGACTGTCCAAGAAAGAGCATTCTCTCTTAGCTCCCCATGCCAACCACAGAATAAGCAAATAACTGAACAAACAAAAACATATAGCACATAAGCTGAGTTTTATATTTTATGGTTTTAGTCTAAAATATAATTGTTTTTAAGTCTAGACTAATTTACTGTTGACCAAAAGTTTGAAAGGTTAAAGTGCAAAGTGCAATGTCAGTCACTCATTTCCAAGATAGTCCTCCTATCTATTAGCTTTCAGGGGGAAAATGGAGAAAAGGACTAAGACAGTTTATTCACAGAGAAAAGTCTGCTCTATTCCTTTCCTTCTAAGGTTTTAAAAGCTGAGCTTTGAATGATGATCAGAGTATCCTTTATCTGCAAGCTGGATAAGGTAGCATGTCTTCCCAGGTAAGGGATAAGTCCATTCGCTCTCCAGAGAGAAAACAACTGTCTAAAAGGAAGAGACTACAAGCCACATTGTTTTATAGGGACAATAGATAACACTCCTTGAAAAAGGACAGAAGAATTTCATTTCCTTTTAAACAACCCTCACCAATGCTCGCACCATGCATAAGAAGTATCACCCCACCTCATCATCATATCATCAATTCTGCTCCTTCTCACTCTAGGAACAGGCTAGCAATTCACAAAGACCTTTTTGCAAGAAATCACTCCCTCCTTCTTCCTAAATTAATGAAAAAAATTTTCTGTATTGTAAAAGAGCGATACCTTGCCAAATATATTTTCTCTTTTCCCTTTATTATGGAGATGCTTTAATCCTAACCTAAAAAGAGTTCCCTTATGTATTTATGCATCAAGACTGTTCCCGATGAAGGCTTTCACAAGGGATTTTCCAAAGGGAAATCTCTGTTTACAAGGAACAGAAACTCTTAAGTCATCATCCTATCAGCTGGACAAAAATAAAAAGCAACATGAGGGAACACTCTGAATATAAGAATGGATACCCAAAGTGAAAAAGATGCCAAAATGTAGCCAAAGAACTAAAGGAATGTCTGTCTTAAGGCACAACAATAAAGTAAACTTGATATTACTTCCCAGTTGATCAACAGGACTTCTAACTGCCAATCAAAGCAAAATAGGCAGGTCTCTAAAAACAAAAACAAAACAAAAAGGGTAAACAAGGTCATCACTATCAAGAACTATAGGAATCAAAGTTATTTTGCATATCATTTTGAAAGACTAAAATGATCAAATCACACTGCTGCAATAAAGTTACTTCTAATTTGAAATTAGTCAATTCTAAAAATAAACCAAAACTTCAATACACAATTCCTTCCAGAACAGAACAGAAGTTAGTATCGTCTCATTCAACATTTTTCAGGATAGAATGCCAAGTGCTACAGCTTCCCACTCAAAAAGCTATTTTATATAGAACAGACTCTTCCACAGTACTTTTTCCGTACCTTAGTGTTGGTAGCTCTCCTTCCCACTGACATTTATTTGGCATCTAAACCCCTTCATTTGTCTTCCCACATCTGGTTAAAAAAAAAGGGGGAGGGGGTTAAATTGCAGCAGTCCATTTAGTAACTAACAAAGAATTATAAATCAAAACATTCTGCAAGTTTTGAAGTTTTATTTCCATACTGTAGTGCATGACAATAACCACAGAGCAACAAACAGAACCAAACATTATACATCCCTTGCTATAAAAGGAGTAAAAATTATCTAATTAAATGAGGAGAAACAAACTTGGCTTTCCACTATTTCAATGTGAAGATCTGTATCAATGATTCACACATTGAGTGTGACCTAACTTCCTACATGAATCACACTTTCCGAAATTCTTGTTCGGTATGAGTGTATTAAATACGAGGTCATCGTCTCTTTGTAGTTGTTAAACAGAGCATGATGTTGGTTAAATCGGGCTAACTCTGCAAGACATTCAAGACATGGTAAACTTGGCCAACTAACTCTCCCTGCAACATTATGCATTCTCCAGTAATTGCAGCTTTTCACACCTACTCCTGGAGCACACACTGGGGGGTGGGGGGCAAACGTCAAACACTGATTAAGAATGTATCCATCCAAACCCTGCACTCCATCTCCTCGTTCCCTTACTGCATCTCTTCCCATTGTGATAACACAACACAAATAGCAGTCACTCTGTTATCCTTACACAGTTTTGAGTCAACCTACTGTACAAAAACTGTGTGGCAAAAATGCTGAGTCACTAAATGGAAAAATAAAAAAGAGCTACAAATAATGGAAGTTTAGGATGCCCTTTAGCCGTGTTCCAGCATTTTGTTTGTACGTCTCGGGGTGGGAAAAAAAAACACATAAAGCAAACATTTGAACTTTTCTCCTTTGGGTTTTCTTATGTCCCCTGCTTCCTGCTGGATATCCACAGCAAAGGCAAATCAGGCCTGACAGGAACTATGGAACTCCACTCCACAATGTGGGTGTAAATAACGCCCCGTATTAGTCAAGCATTAACCCTGACCGTCCTGCCCTGAGCCTGTTAAGCCCGCGCTTCAATTCAGATCAAGAAGGAAGCAAGAGAAGGGGGGAATCTCATTAAAAAAAGAAGCTACGCCCTCCACCGGCTTGACACCGTTCCCGCGGCGGCTCCTCCCGGGACAGACTGAGGACAGAGTCTGAGGGAGTGTGGCGCTGGGAGCAACCGGAGCTGGGGTACCCAGCTGTCCTAAGTGATGCCCGGTCCAAGGGGCGTAACCCCTTCTTCCCTCGCGGGGGGCCGGAGAAGCGGGAGCCGGCGACCCGCTAGGCGACCCCAGTCCGGAGCCGCCCCGGGGCAGCTCCTCGGGACAGCCGGGCCCGTCGCCTGCTCTTACCTGCGTGTGGAGCGGGCTGAGGCTGCGGCGCCGCCCGGAAGGGCCGGAGCGGCCGCCCGGGAGCGGGGAAGGGGCGCGGCGGCCACACTCTGTCCCGACACCGTCCACCGCGCGGGCCGCAGGGAGGCAGAAGAAGGGCTCCTCGCGCCGCGGCCGGTCGTGCAGTCACACTCAGGGTGCCCTTCGCGCCGCGGCCGGGACGGCGACCGAGACCCGGGATGAGCCGCAGCCCGAGCGGCGGCTGCAGCAGCGGCGGCGGCGGCGGGGCAGAGGGGCGGGGCCACCGGCCGGCGACCCGCTCACCCGGAAGTAGTTGTGGCGGGCGGCGGGTGGACGGGCGCGCGCCACACATAGGCTTACTGCCTGGACCGCGGAGCGCCGGGGTCGCATCAGATGATGGAGCGGGTGGCAGGGAAGGCGACTCGCTCTCGCTCAGGCCGGGCGTGGTCCCGAGAGTTGGTACCGGAGCCCCTCGAGGCCGTACTTACCGTAGTTTTGGTCTCTACGCGGTCTGGCGGGAGGGCTTGGGGTAAGTGAGACACCTGGCGCGCCGACTGTAGAAAAGGACGTGGAGGGTGGGTGTGGCTGAACGAGATGAAAATACCTGATTTTAAATAAACTCCCAGCTGAGGCTGTAGCGCAGTTAATCGGGTGCTCGCTTAGTACACCTGTAGCCCTGGGTTCCATTCCCACCATAAAGCCAGGTAGGCTGCCCTACACCTGTTGTCCCAGGTACCCTGAAGCCTGTAGCAGAGCGCGGGAGTTTGAATCACCATAGCGAGACCCGTTCACACACACACACACACACACACACACACACACACACACACACACACACACACACACACCAAATCGTGGACCTGTCCTTCAATCCCAAAGTGTCTGGAAACCCGCGGGAGTTTGAATCACCATAGCGAGACCCGTTCACACACACACACACACACACACACACACACACACACACACACACACCAAATCGTGGACCTGTCCTTCAATCCCAAAGTGTCTGGAAACCCAGCAGGTTCAAAGTTCAAGGCACCGGAAGACCAGATCCTGCTCTCGGAGAAACTTACCTTCTAATTGAGTAGATGAACTTGAGCAGATAAACAAGGTAATGACAGGCTGTCGTGCAACAGAGCAGCAAGCAATGAGGAGAAAATTTTGAGGGTGAGGTCTCTGGCTGGGGAAGATGATCAGAGAAGACCTCTGGCAGGAAGTGATAGCTGAGCAGGTTTCTGGGGGAAAGGGCACAAAATGTTCTTGGACTCAACCTCCCACCTACAAAGATTGCAGATTTCAGAAACCCACGAATAAGCCCACAGATGCCAGGTTAGGATTTTGTCTAATGGCTTCTAGAAGGACTTTCTGGGTGGCCCATTCCCACGGAGACATCAAAGGCTTGATCAATTTTAACGTTCCTGGGGCTGTCACTATGGCATCAATCCTGGAGGTTCAGCACACAGGGGAAAGTGTGCTAAGACAAACTGTGTGTGTATCTGTCTGTCTGTCCACACACACACTTGGCATACATGGGGGACAACCTTGGGTGTTGTTCCTCAGGAGCCATACTCCTTGGTTCTTTTTTAAGACATTAAATCTCTCATTGACCTGGAACTCACCAGGTCGGCTAAGGCGGCAGCCTCTCCAGGGCTGGGATTACAGGCATGCGCCACCACACCTAGCTTTCTTTTTCTGTAAAAATAGGCATTGAGGTAGAGTTCTGAAGCAGCTTTAGAAGTTCACTCTTACCGCTCCTTCATATTTTGCCATCTCTTTGGCAAGAAAAACAACAGCTGCTCCTCTTGCTGTAAGAGTCTGAGATCAAATGATTCAAATATTGTGGAGAATGTTGTAGACTGACACTAACATTTTGTCATTACAAGGAGTTCCTGACTCAGTCTATGACCCTGGATTGTATCGTAGGCAGTCTTTCTCTGCACATTAACTGTTTCTTTCTGCCAAAAATATCTGTTCCCAGATCTTTATGGAATATTTTGACATGTGACTGCCCCAGGTCTGTGTGGGCTGGCTGCTCTGGGGACATATTAATAGATGAAGGAAATTTTTGCAAATGTTTATGCAGTTTTGGAGAATGAGATGGCTGGATCTGTACATATTTATTCTTTCCACAACAAATCATAGTTTTCCTTGATGATGCCAAGAAATAAAATTTTTCCTTTTTTAATAACAAATACTCATTGCTGTGTTTACTTACCTGATTCAGGTATTATACTTTTTAATTTATACTATTATGTTTGTTTGTTTGTCTTTTGAGACAGGGTTTTTCTTTTGTTAACTGCCCTGGCCATCCTGGAACTCCATTCGTAGACCAGGCTGGCCTTAAGTTTACAGAGATCCGACTGCCTCTGCCTCCTGAGTGCTGGATTAAAGACATGCACTACCACCACCCAGCTGTTTCTACTATTGTAATAGGTGAAAATTGATATATTTTTAACATAAATTTCCCCTAATGGCATTAATGTGTTTTTCATGTCTCTCTTTTCATATTTTTAGACAAATTTGTCTTGGCAAAAGCAATACCATGTTTCTTTGTTTGGAACACATATCTGGAAACATCATTAGTTCAAACATTAAAAATAAGCTGCTAAAGGTTGTGTTTGCTTGCACAAGATCAAGCCAATCAAAAATTCAGCATGGATGACAGAGGAACTCCTGAGAGCTCAACCCTTGTAACTAAGAGCTGTTGACCGTTGTTGACTGCTGGAGAAAAGAGAGTAACTGTTTTGTAGATGTGGCTGTGTTCCAGTGGCTGGCCACACACCTATGCACAGATGGTCAACAATAATCGGACTCAGGGGCTGGGAAGATGGCTCAGTGGTTAAGAACACATACTGCTCTTTCAAAGGACTGAAGTTTGACTCCTAGCACCCACATTCTGTGGCTTACACCCATCTGTAACTCCAGCTCAAAGGAAATCTGCCACCTTTGGCCTCATTGGGCACCTGCACTCATATGTACATATTCACACAGAGACACACATATATGCATAATTAAAAATAATAAAAATAAATCAAAACTAATAGTTGGTAAGGACTATTACTACTAATAATTTTAAAGCTGAAAGGATAATAGATTCGGAGTTCCCAGCGGGGAGGTAGAGGGAGGTAGTGGGTGGGGATAAATAAGATCAAAATACATTATGTGCGTATATGAAATTTTCAAAGAATAGAAAGATCTTTTAATGGACTGCTTGGGCTGAGGTGATGGGTCCACAACTAAAGCACTTGATGTGGCATGAAAACCAGAGTTCGTATGCCCAGAATCCACATAAATGCCAGGCAAGTGTGGAGTTCATTTGTAATGCTAGCATTAGAAAGCAGAGACAGGGTCTCCAGGGCAGGATGGCTAACCAGACAAGTCATATCCATGAGCGTCGTGTTTGATGGGAAACCCTGCCTCGATGAATATGGTGGCAAACACCCACACGTATGTGAACACAAATGCACATTATTCACATATACAAGAAAAAAATAAGCTGCCACTTTGTAAGTCTAATATTGTGTGTGTGTGTGTGTGTGTGTGTGTGTGTGTGTGTTGGGGCATTTTTAAATTTTTTGTTTTCTCTTTATAAGCCTATGGAAACTGGGTAATATAATTGCTATAGGCTATGTATGTTTATTTTGTATTCTTATAAAATTTCCTTGTCTAGATTTACCGTTTTCTTTTGATGTTATCTCTGTGTGTGTGTGTGTGTGTGTGTGTGTGTGTGTGTGTGTGTGTGTGTGTGTGTGACCCAAATTTCTTCATTAGTGTCATCTTATATACCTATAGTCATTTTGTTTTGTTTTATTGTTTTTCAAGACAGGGTTTCACTGTAGCCCTGGCTGTCCTGGAAACTCACTCTGTAGACCAGGCTGGCCTTGAACTCAGAGATCCACCTGCCTCTGCCTCTGCCTCCTGAGTCCTGGGATTAAAGGTATGTGATGCCACCACCCAGCTCCTATAGTACATTCTTAAATCTAGATTTTAGTTTTTGTTTCATATCAAAAAGGTACCACTTTACAGTCATTCATTTCTGTGTAATTCATTCAGTTATATTTGATTTGGCTGTTTTCCTTTGCTAAATAAGCAGATGTCAATAGCTAGCTAATAAATCTGCCATGGTTCTCATCTCAAGCTAAGTTTATTTTCCAAAATTCTACCAGAGCCAGATATGGTGGTTGTATTAGTTACTTGTCTATTACTGTGATAAAACACCGTGACTGAGACTCCATATAGAAGGAAGGGTTGTTTGGGCTTATGGTTCTAGAGGGACAAGATGCCATCACCGTCACAGGCAAGGGTCAAGCATGGCAGCTGGAGCAGCAAGCTGAGCGCTCAGATCTTGATCCATAGGCATGAAGCAGAGAGAACAACCTATAAACGAGTCTTTGAACTCTGAAAGCCTAACCCAGTGGCATACTTCCTTCAGCAAGCTGTACCTCCTAATATTGTGTGTGTGTGTGCGCGCGCATTTTTAATTTTTTTTTTAAACCTCACCACCAAATGGTGACCAGATATTCAAATACATGAGCCTATGTGGAGCACTCTCATTCAGACCACCACAGTGATTCACTCCTGTAATCTAGCACTTGAAGGGCTGAAACAAGGGATTACTGAAAGTTAGGCCAGCCTGCCTAACAAGTGAGAGCCTAACTGTTAATCAATTATTTCCAGACAGACAACAAAATTGAAAATTACTCATTTGAAAGATTTTTTTTTACTTCTGCTTATACTGTTCCATACCATCCTACCCTCAGTAAGTTCTATAAACCTGTGTGTGCATTTTAATGCATCTGATCACAAATATTTTTAGAGGTTAGTGTTGAAGTAAAAGGAAAGAGAGTCCTTCCTCACTTGGCTGGAGAGAGAAAACAGTTTAAACACTGCTGCTTGGTTTTGTCAACTTGATACGGACTTAGATGCTTTTCTACTGCTGTGACAAATCACATGGCCAAGGCAACTTACAGAAGAAAGCATTTAGGGACTTGGAGTTTCAGAGGGTGAGTCCATTGCCATTCTGACAGGGAGAATGACTGTAGGCAAGCAGATATGGCCATGGAGCAGAAGCTGAGAGCTCACATCTGATTCACAAGCATGAGACAGAAAGCTGAGTGGCTATAACATGGACTTTTGAAACCTCAAAGCCAGCCCACAGTAAAACATCAACAAGGCCACGCTTCCTAATCCTTCCCAAACATTTCCACCACCTGTGGTCCAAGCATTCAAACGTATAAGCCTTTGGGGCCATTCTTA